GATTTGAACGCTGGCCAAGATGTTCTCACTGTTGCTGGGATTGTTGTGTTTTTGCGCACTGACCTCTGGCCAGCGTGGGAACAGGCAGATGGACGATGGGAAGCGCTACATTTGCCGGGCAGTGCCTCTGAGCGGCGACGCCAGTTGCCCCGTGACGCTGCTGCCCGAGCTGAGCTCCGGGAGTCAGGAAGAGGAGCTGAGAAACACAGTGATGCAGCTGAGAGAGACGATTGTACAGCAGAAGGAAACCATCTCCAGACAGGTCGGCACCATCAACGAGCTGACGACCAAACTGTCCCTGTGCGCCTCAGCCACGGGCGGCAGGAGTTTCGACAAGGACGGAACCTGGGGGAAGGAGAAGCAAAACACCATGGGAGATGTTCCCAGAGACCCCAATGACACCATAGATAGCCTTGGGAAAACCATGCAAGGACTCAAGGACCGTCTGGAAAACCTGGAGGTAAGGCAGGGCGCCTTTGCATTTTACTGCTTAATTAGAAAATGAGGTAACTGAAGATAAGTTAACACGGTGAGATGAAGCAAGATAAAACGGGGAGAAGTAAAGTTTACATTAAAGTAAAAGTCAGAGTTATAACAAGTTCAGGTTGTTACTTTTTTTTTAAACCTGCGTATGTCCCAGTACTACTGAGTACAGCTTAAGGTAGTGTGCAGGTTTTCCGGGTGATGGAACCCAACAGTCAGGAAAACAAATAAGTCCAGTGTTCACTGAAAGAAAAAACAAGTGTGGTCAGAGTTCTGGCAGAAGAATCTGGCAGAAGAATCCCAGTTTGACGTGGAGTCCCAGGAGACTCATCATCACTCCAGCGTCTCTGTGTCCTCTCCAGTCACCATGTTTTGTACCTTCTCCCCCAGCAACAGCAGATGCGGGCCAACATATCTGGCGCGTCTTTCCCCAGCGAGCTGCGTGACCTGCTGCAGCGCCGCCTCGGAGAGCTGGAGAAGCAGCTGCTGAGGAAGGTCAGCAGCCTGGAGGAGGAGAAGAGCCTGCTGACCAACGCTACGGTAGCCTACAGGCTGAAGACCGAGAGCACGCTCAACGCACTGGTCGAGAGGATCAGTGAGCTGGAGAAAGGTACTGGGCCACATCGAGTGTCTCCATGTGGGCTTGATGGTCAAAAAAATACCAGACCATTTCATATCTGAACCACAGTCAACACATTCCATTACCTTTGATAATAACATTATTGAAGGAAGCATGATCTGGTTACAGTTTATCTTAGGCCAAGTGCAGCCCAATCTCTGGTCCATATCAGATGTCCCACGGATATGTGAGCGTCCTGTGTATTTAGTTGATCCAGAAAAGCTTGCCTGAATCAACTTTGGGCTGAATGATATGGCCCACATCACACATACAGAGCCTAGTTAGCCTGATGTGGACCACATTAATTTTACACATAAAGTGTTGTACCAGACAAAGACAATCATTTAAAACCTAAATAATTAGGTCACACTGAGAAAAGCCTGAAAGAAGGAATATGTTTTAGTGTCGAGTCCAGGAGATACAGCCCACACCTGAGTAAACAGTAGTGTAGGGAGATGGGTTTTAATGCCATTGAAGTGTCCAGCTTGTTTTTGTATATTTCAAAGGCTAATGGAGAGGAGGCCGAGGCAGGCACTCAAAGGAATAAAGAGGTGGAGAGGGTCTGATGAATCAGAGAGGGAGAAATAATACAGTGAGAGACATGCATGTATTTTTTCATAGAAAGAATCAATTTTGGTTTGTTGTCCATTTTTAGTCTGTTGTTGTGGTGAACATTCAGAGGTTTCTGTTTATTATTCCAAGGCTGAGATTAACCAGGTTCAGATATGACTTCACTGAACCTCAAGACTGTCGCTTTTCTTCACAGCACACTCACTACCAGGTGACCTTCCCTCCTACCTAACCAACTAGCTCCCTATATTTATCACAACTTACCTACCCACTATTTAATTACCTTTTTAACACCTACATACGTACCTACCTGCCTCCTACCTCCATATCCACGCTCCTACCTAGATACAGACCTACCTTCATTTCTAGCTGACTGCCTTTTTAGGTATTTACAGCATCTTCTGACCCAGTGAGGTCAACAGACTGTTTAACCTCCCTTCCACCTTTCATGGTGGGTTATTCTGAGTGAATGCCAGCTCTAAGATGAGTTCCTGAACCTGTCCACCATGTCTGGACTCAACTCCATCCTTTTGTCTTTGTCTCATCTTAGGTGGAGGAGACTTCAAGTCTCCTGAGCAGTTTAAGCTTTCTCTCCCTCAGAGGACCAACTACCTGTACGGCCGTATCACCAAGTCTCTGCCAGAGATGTACGCCTTCACGCTCTGCATGTGGATCAAGTCCAGTGCCACTCCTGGTATAGGGACACCCTTTTCCTACGGCGTACCTGGACAAGCTAATGAAATTGTGCTCATCGAATGGGGCAATAACCCCATCGAGCTGCTCATCAATGACAGGGCAAGTAACTCTGACGTTATATTAATGGTAGCATCATCTGGAGAGCACAATCTAAAATGAAAGATGACGCAAAAGATTGAAAATGTTAAATATTTATTAAGCCAAACTCACTGTTGTCCAGATCATCACAGGGCTACATTTAAAGACAAAAAGAAACTTCACTCTAATATCCACACCTATTAGAAACATTCATGTGTGTGAACTCACCTGTAATCGTCAGTAATTGAACCATTGACCCTCTTGCTGTAAGGCAAGTCCTGGCAGTCATATAAAATGCAGATTGTCCAAAAAAGAAGAATCGAGTCTAGGAACAAAGACACATAAAATGAATGTTTTTTGCCTTTCCTTTGCCCTGCAGGTTGCCCAACTGCCTCTGGAGGTACGTGATGGGAAGTGGCACCACATCTGCATCTCCTGGACGACACGGGATGGCCAATGGGAGGCATACCAGAATGGGGAGAAGCTGGGGAGTGGTGACAACCTGGCAGCCTGGCATCCCATCAAGTCTGGAGGAGTCATCATCCTGGGGCAGGAACAGGTCAGGGACAAGAAAAGTATCCACCGGGGTGGAGCACAAATACAGTGTGTCATCAGTGAGAGGGGGCACCCCACCCCCATTAGCCAGAGTTAAATATCGATAAAAGCCCAAGGTCAAGTTGTTCTGCAAGAAAATCAGCCACATTTACTGCAGTAATCAGGAGTGACAGGTTATTATGACACAGGAAAGTCAACATGTCTGTGACTGCACACACACACACACAGAGCAGCAGCGTAGACAAACATTGCCTGAGGATCAAACAAGTGCAATATTAAAAGTGTGAAAATGGAAAAATAAGCTGCACTGGTCTGAAGTGTTTTTAAAGCCTTCCTCATCAGGGCTCGATTTCTCCCTGAAGCAGCAGCTGGACATGAACGTCTTATTATAGTTATAGTAATTCAATGGTGTGTACATATATATATATATAATTGGCTTACATTGACACATGGTGCATTTTGTCTGCTTTGATTTATGGCATTTCCAAAAACCAATTATAGTTTCATCAGTCTGTTCTTTGTGCACGACGCGTTTGTTAAAGGTGATCATTTCAACACCAGCGTCTCTGTAACATTCTCTACAGAAAAGTTTAATCCACGACCTGCAAAGGAATAAAAGTTAATTTGTGAAGAAACTCTTTATGAATTAAAATGACCGTATCAGTTAGCCCCCTGGGGTAACTTCAGGCTAGGAGGGCTAAACAGTGGTTCTAGATTTTTTTTTTCTTTTACTACTTTAATTGCTAATGATCTTTGGTTATCTGTCCTACATGGCGACAAACATTTACAGAGAGAAAGAAAAGTTGTAACGTAAAAAAATGTAATAAAAAAAGCCAAAATACACATTATTCCCACTGAGTCAATCACATTATTTAAAGAAATTAAACTTGTCATCCACTGATCTTACTACAGCTACAGATAAGATGATAGCATCAGACACTTGACCTCAAACTGTAAGGCTGAGTCCATCCACACTACAATACTTCACAAAGACAATTACCGATGTTAATGACGTGGACGTCAAGCTTTTACATTTACATCCTCTTCTTTATGGCCCCTCCAGGACGTGGTGGGCGGCCGATTCGATGCCGGACAGGCATTCGTGGGCGAGTTGAGTCAGGTGAACATTTGGGACCGTGTTCTGAAGCCGACAGAGATACAGTCCATGGCCAACTGCAGCTCTTACATGCCCGGAAACGTAGTCTCCTGGCTGTCCAGCAATGTGGAAGTTTTTGGGAGGGGAGCATTCAAACGCCCTCTGGAGGTGTGTCAGGAGCGTCTGCCCAAGGCTTGACAATACTACTTCAATGTCCTTCATTTCCATTGGTCCCTGAAATCATGTGTTACCACCTGCTGCGAGTAAGTCTGTGATTTCTTTTTCATACACGTGTCACAGTGTTGTGTTTGCATTTTCCTGCACCAGCCACGTCTGTCATGAAAAGCTGATGTTGGGCCTTGAATGTGATGAAACTCCAAAGTGCATATTTATTATATGGAGGCTGAGCAGTCGGACACATTAACATTCTTAGTCTCAGACACGATTAAGCTACTTTTACTACACCCACGCTAAGAAAAGGTGCCCGTGGGTATTTACTTCACTCTAACTGTAGGGAGCTGTCGATCTGACACAGATGTACACAGTGTACTGCACACAGTGATACTGGACGCAGTGATACTCTACTGCAGGGGTCACCAACGTGGTGCCCGGGGGTACCTGGTAGCCCCCATGGAGTACCTCAAGTGCCCACAGGGTATTTTCTAAAAATAAAACTAGTCAACAAGAGGGTCAGAAATTGTACTGTAACTGTTTTGAATCAGTAACCTTTGCAATGATATTTAGTTGGGTGCAATGGCGATGGTAAGAAGAGTGTCGACTATTGTACAGTATGTCCCAGAACAAATTATGATTACATTATTTGGGAAGTCTGTATCAAACTAGAAGCTCTTCATATTAGTAAGTGTCCTTGAAGTAGCTCTTAGTTTCAAAAAGGTTGGTGACCCCTGCTCTACTGTGTCCAGACAGAACAACAGTTAGCTGGGGGCGTTTGAGCCGGTGTTTGCGTGCAGCGTGGGAAGAGAGACTAAAGGTCACCTCAATGTTATGTCTCTTCCTTAACCTGGAAATGAGCTTAAGGCCAGGATTAATTAAGTCCCCGGTCCTGGAGATTGTGAAAAGAAAAAATTCAATTTTGCTCTGATGGGACACCAGTCCCAGTGCTTTCCTCCTCCATCTGCCTTTGCCATTTAACAAAACCTGATTCAAATGGAACCTTGTTTCAGGTGAAACAAAATACATTTTCAGAAAGGTTGGTGTAAATCTGGGTATAAAAGAACATCTCTTCAATCTTTTCAAGCAGAGACGGGTCATGGCCAACTTCTATGTGCTGAAATATGAACAAAAGGTACATTAAAAACCATCATCCTTGATGAACAAAACTTTCATTTTTTATTGGGTTTTGTGAAAAACCTCCATCTTTTCTGAAAAAGTGGTCCATGAATATGAAAAGCATAATGTGTTTTGTGGATTTGGTGACCAGTCATTGAACATAAACAGATGTACGTGTTTCAATGTGGTTTTATTTAGTTTTCTGGACTCTTCACGTACGTACAGTACAGGGGATCAACCATCTGGTTTAATGCCTTCTCATAAAGACTTAAGTGCCACTGAGTGTTTTCTAAATGTCAGAGATGTTGTCTTTGTAAGTGAATGAAAACGATATTAAAGAAGAGCGCTGCTGCAAAATGAATTCATGTCTGGCTTCGATCTGTTGGTTGTTACTTTCCCTCTGCATGACAGGAAACTAAAAAATATTTGTCAGAACAACAGCATAACAGCATAATACTGTCAAAGAAATCACTGTGTTCTGTTTTCTCAGACCACAATGAAGGACCACTTTATACAGAGAAAACAATTTCAGCAAATTTAAAAACTACAACCTTTTCTCTATACTTATGTCCTAGATTTGAGTTTTCACTGACACGCAGGACGGCTCACATCACAGAGGAGTACACAGTTTGAAGTACTGCACTCCTAGATAAGATAACACTGAAAATTGTCCATGACTTTCACTTTAATTGGGGACGTTATGGTTTAGGTTTGTGTCCAATCTTGTCAGTATCAGTCCCTGCACATGAGTGACAGTTACACCCAGACTGAGCAGGGTCTTTAGAATCAGACGGCTCAGGTCACAACAACAACAGGTGTCCTGGGTGGCATTAGCAACGCTTAACTGATGAGGAAGGCCAAAAGGTCACTGGTGACGTTATGGACGTTCTCCCTTTCCACAAAGTCACTCTTTAAACCCCACAAAGCTCCGGGAACGTTCTGTAGTACTGAAGAAATCTAAAAAACTAAAACCCTAAATTTAATAGTGCATATCTTTTAAAACAAACATCAGGCTTTGTGATATAAAAGATGCATGTTATCCTGGGAATTGGATTGAAATTCTTTACATTTCCATAGCCTTGGATTGGACCAGGGGAATGAACTGAATATACGAGGGAAACCTGAGCAGGTCTGAATTAAAAAAACACATTTTAACCAACAGTGAATTTCAACTCATTTGCAGCTTTTATTCAGACTGTTCTTCTGGATGTCTTGTCTGAGGACACACAGAGCGGAACGTTTCCCGACGGCACGTGACACGAGGACTCAACGTGATCATCTCTTATCTGAGACTGAAGGTATGGAGGACAGACAATAAAAGCTCAGTTTGATCAATAATTTTGATGGAAGAAAAAAAAAAGCAGACATGCAGGGTGAGTCTGTTTGACTGAGATGACATTCCCATCAGCCCCTGCTTCAGGGCTAAGTGCTGTAGACTGTAGCAGAGAAACAATAATTCATTCTTTAAAGTTTGTTGCCACCAAAACATCCATGAAAACAAAACAAAATCAAACTTAATATTAATAAAAGAGTTTTGTTTGTTGACTGCAAGCCCTTAAAATGTCTCACTAATTAATCACGTGAACTATTTTAGGGAGAAATGAGGATATGATAAAAACTGAAATGGCTCTTTAATGATAACATGTTAGTCTGTTGTGCTGCATTTTTAAATCCTAGTTATTTACAGTGCTACAGCTGATAGCTTATGTTCGGTTTGATGAAAACGCCTTTAAATTGTTGGAATTAAATTAAAATAAGGTTGTGTGCAGGTAGCAGCAGCAGCAGCAGAACTACTGTGACCTGGACTGAAGGATGAGCGGCTCCCTCTCTCCTCTCTCCATGTGGGAAAAGTTCAGGAAGATCCTGCCCTGACCTCCAGAGGTCTGGCTCTTCAGGAACACAGCATTAGTGGAGACAGCAATCTAAACAAAAACACACAAGGATTCAGAGGTTAATATTGTTTTGAAAAAACGTCTTGGTTTAAATTTGTCTTATTTGGTAAGAACTTAACTACAATGTAATAATCTTATATATCAATATAATTACAAAATAAAATTTAACAGAAGCAGAGGAAAAATGTCAATAGTGACGGCAACAAAAAACAGGAGGTTATTTGTTTGTTTACTGTGAGGTCAGTAGAATCTATTTAAAACTATAGTTTACATACTTATATATATACTTGGCCTCAAGTACACTCTGATCACTCTGCTCAGTATGCACAGTCACCTAGTGGTTATTTCCTGTACTTGATACATAAAAAAAAAATCAAAGATATTTTAGGAGAAAAATCAGACCGTTTATACTTAGATTTAACTGGATATGTATTTTGGTGTGATGTGCGTTGTTATGTTGTTCTCAACAGAGGAAATGACAGGTCTTTGAGGATTTGTTACTTTTAACTATGGGACAGCTAAAAATAAGAATTAGTTTCTTCTCACACTCTTCCAATCATATGTTCTTTACCTGTGATCGGCCGTGATGACAAGGTCGACAGGCGATGACTGTGATGAAGGAGAATGTGGCCGTGAGAACAGCAGCACAGGACAGCATGAAGATCAGGTGGTTGTTGTCTGCAGCAAACACAGAAATGACATTATTATTTCATCACCAAATCATCAAAGTTTGTTTTCTGTCAAAACACGTCTACATTTAGACTGTGTAAATTACCTGTCACATGACACAAGGCAACAACACTACAAAACAGGTCTGACGGTGGTGGGCCACATCCATTCGACCAATCCAAGAAAAGTCCAGTTAAGTAAGAAACCTTTTTTTTTTTTAAATCACAAGTTCACATGGATTCACCACAGTGATGGTGAATCAGTTGTTCACAGCAGACATGTGCTGACCTGTGGGGCCACCTTCTTTGGATCTGCTCTGAATCCTTCCATGCCATCGTCACCTCACTGTTTGTGGAACTAACGCAGCTAAACATCACATGGTCGTTTTTAACTGAAACTCCACACTTTTGAAAAGACTCCTGTTCTTGTGTAGGCATGAATTTGTACACAGGTTGTCTGTCTCCAGCTGTGAGTCTCACGTATGTCCCTGGAGATTTTCCACTCTAATGCCAGTGAAGAAGACACGTCACACTGTCTCAAATAACCTTGAAAAGTCAAGTCTATTCATGTTCAGTATTCAGTATTAATAATGAAGTAGAGTAAAGACCGACCCGCGGGCCACAGTAAAAGAAGTGAGTGTGTTCGGTCACTCACTGCTCTTCTTGGCGTACAGGCTGAAGGACGTCTGCAGTTTGCTGATGTCGTTGCTGACGCTGATGTCCAGACAGTGGACACCGGCAGAGGTGAAGGTGTGGTTCAGTCTCAGTGTGTTCTCATACAGTTTGGTCATGGTGCAGCCAATGCTCTTCTCCGGGACACAGTTACGCAGGAA